AATGTTTACAGTGTGGCTCAAGAGGATAGATGAGATCCTGGAGATTATGGACAGTGTGGCTCAAAAAAATCTAGTCGCATGTTTTTTTACTATTAGAACTTAAAAATATAAACTGATCAATAAGTTAAACTTTCTTTAAAATCCACCATTTTACTCATAAAAATTTATGTTTTTTGGCTCTCTATAAAATGAAAATTATTAAAAAAGTTTTGTACAGTTTGCTGAAGATTCTGTTTGATTCGGATAATTGGGAGGAATAAAAAAAGATAGAATTGAATATAGAAGAAACATGAAAAGAATTAGATGAAATAAGATTGAATGGAATATATTAGAATTTGATAAAATAAAAAGACAGATTTAAGAAGATTTAAACAGATTTAGGACAGATTTAAGACAGAGGAATTGAGCCTTTGCAACAAACTCAAATTTTCTAAGCCCTATATTTTTGTAAACCAATGTTGTAGACATTTGCTATTTCAAACTATGAATTCTGTTTGATCTAAATTTAAAAAATCTAAGGTTTTCACAATCAGGTTGCACATCTATAAGAGTTGGAAAATTAAAGTTTGTGACAAAGACTTCATTCCTTTAAGAAAGTCTTAAAAGAGATTAAAGACACACAAGTTTTGGCCTTAGATTGGATTACTCACCAAGGGAAGAAACTCTTTGAACGTTATCCATTGAATCTCAGCCATAACTAGCTTTCTAGTTTCCTAAATATATAGGTATATTGGTAGGGTCATAGTTGATGGTTATATACATCAATAGAACTAGTATTGCAGTACGTTTTTAACTTTTCTTTTCCGTTACGTTGTTCTTTGGTAATAATTTGGATTTCTTTGTTTTATAACAAGTTTTTTTTAAATTAGAAGGCAAGAGGCACAGTTAATATATGGTGATTTTTTTTCTCCTTTCACCAGGAGAAAGAAGAAGAATGATTGAACCTGAAACTCCTGGACCTAAACCTATTTTTGTTTCACTGGGCTTTTAGGGCGGTTCGCTCCCATCTTTCATTTCAATTGAGAAAATTTTCTCTTTGCATACATTGTAAACCAAAGACAAAAAAGTTTGCGGATTTTATAAAATAAATTTCGTGGATTTCCAAAATTTAGTGCAAATCGAATTAGAGCCTGAAGTAAAATATCAGAGTCTGGAGTAAAATATCAGAGTCTGGATTAAAATATCAGAGTCTGAAGTAAAATATCAGAGTCTGGAGTAAAATATCAGAGTCTGGAGTAAAATATCAGAGTCTGGAGTAAAATATCATGGAGTCTGGAGTAAAATATCAGAGTCTGGAGTAAAATATCATGGAGTCTGGAGTAAAATATCATGGAGTCTGGAGTAAAATATCAGAGTCTGGAGTAGAGTCTGTAACAATATTCATCTCTTTTTAGTAATAAATCTCCAGGGTCTAGTGAGGGAAAATCATTAACTACCCTTATCCTTACTTCAATTCTCCACGGTCTAGGGTATTCGTGGAAAATTAACCCTTTCCATTTCTCCTTACTCCTATCCCCCTGGTCTAGAATATACCTGGAAAACCAATCCTATCCTCCCTCTACTTAATCCTATCCCCCCTGGTCTAGAATATACCTGGAGAACCAACCCTATCCTCCCTCTACTTAATCCTACCCCCCTGGTCTAGACTCTAGAATATACCTGGAAAACTAATTCATCCAGCTCAAGCTCAGTCATCCTGGTCCTACTTCCCAGCTCCTCATCACAAATACAGAAAAATAATCTCAAATTCAATTTAAGTTTAAAATTTTCTCAAAACTTGTTTTCGGGTAAAAAATACTCAGAAGATGATGGATAAAGGTAAAACTTATTTAGACAAATTTATCCTTTTAAAATTTTAGATTATTTTTAATGTCCAAAATGTACGTAACTATGAATTAGTGAAAATTACGAAAAAGAGAGTAACTAAAATACATTGAATTAAGAAACAACAAGCGGTTTGGGTTTCATATCTTGATGTCACTGTGAACCCAAATGTACACGTCACACACTGCGAAATTTTGTCAACGTTTTTTTCTTCAAAAATTTCTTTGACACTATGTTAAGCGCGTTTTACCAGTCCTTACAATAATAATTTTATGAAAAGCGTAGTATAATGCATACCTTGTACATAGCCTGTGCTATTCTGTTATGTTCTAGGAAAAAAAGGTTGTGCATTGAAGTCAATCCTGCCTAAATATAACCATAAAGTGATTTTATGTTGTTTATTGCAGTTAAAGCTAGGGAATATATGCATAATTTCAAGTGACCCTCCATGCAAAGATGGCAATGCTCAATTCATAACGGCCCCCTTTGAAACCTTAGTCATGTCAAAAATGTGAAACATATTTTTTCTGACTCGTAAAGAGATAATCTTGTGGCGCCCCTGGATTCCTGGAATGCAGTACACAGCATATTCCATACTTCACATGTTATTGTTTAGATTATGATATACTGCATCTAGTATAAATACTGTTTTTGATAAATATATATTCTGTCAGTTTATTTGATCTTATTCATTTGGTCTTATTCATTTGGTCTTATTCCTTTCGTCGCTACAATCTCTCCATTGCTTCTTAGAAAGAAAATAATCAATTTTCAATAAGAAAACTCTTGATATATAATTAATACTAGATCAGACAAAGCTTTAATTGGTACCGTTGTGAATCTTACTGGCCACCCTATCAATGTAAATTACGTCTTCAGTTCATTTAAGTAAATAATGTTGTTTAAAAATACGTCTATATGTATAATAATAAATTTTCATATAAAATTATAGAAAGAGATTTTAGTTAATTTATTATCGCAGATTTTTTATTTTTTCCTTTTAGCAGATGTCCTTTCTTTTATGCATTTTCTAAAAAACTGATAACAGAATTTTTTGGGATCAAATTTAATGAAATTGAGCTGCTAGGAACTGCCAGTTCTTTGAATCACTGATTTAATGTTAAAGATTAAGTAAGGGTTTGAATCAGTGATTTAAAGTTAAAGATTAAGTAAGGGTTTGTATCACTGATTTAAAGTTAAAGATTAAATAAGGGTTTGAATCACTGATTTAAAGTTAAAGATTAAGTAAGGGTTTGAATTACTGATTTAAATCAGATTAAGTAAGGGTTTCAACAACTGATTTAAAGTTAAAGATTAAGTAAGGGTTTGAATCAGTGATTTAAAGTTAAAGATTAAGTAAGGGTTTGAATCAGTGATTCAAATTTTAACCGGCGACCCTTAAAATTCATTAAATTCGGTCCTTGGTCTCCCCATCGAAGTAACCTAACTTAAGATAAACCTGAGTCTGAACTCTACGATCTCCTGCAACTATATCATCAGGGTGTTCACCATCAAGCAGTAGATCCTCACGACGAGGAAGAAAATTATCCAACTAGAAAAAAAAAATTGAAAATTAAAAATACTACAGTGATAACCAGAAAACTGTAGAATAGGAAGACGCCGTTAATGCAATACTGAATTGCATTTGATGTTGCAAAGCAAATAGTTTTACAAGACACTTCCTTAAATCACATTTTAAGTGAAATGGGTCTGTTTACACTGCACAATTGCTGTGCCTCATGTTCATCAGACGGTTTTAAGTCATAACTTAAGTCTAAAAGTTGACTTCCTATTCTAGATTTCACTGGTTATTTAATTCTTTGTTATATAGTTGATTTAAGAGGTAAAAATTAAAACTAATTAAATTTCGTTTTGTAATTAGATTTTAAGTGTTTTAATTGGTTCTTTTTTAAGGAAAATAATAAGGAGCAAGTTTTTTTACATACCCTTTTTTATGAAACTATTGTGAAGTTTATCATTCTTGCTCACTTCATCGTGAATTTCATAATGAACGTGCTATAAAGTAAGCATCGGGCTATAAAGTTAAATTAGCGCTACATTATAGCACGTGGTTATAAAGTTTTGATTGGTTCCCGGATTTTCTCCAAAAAATTTAGAATATTTCCAAAATATATTTTTAATTGAAAAAAAAACTAAAATTGAAATAGATTTTACATTTTGACTTCTGCTTTGTTTCAAAGCTTATTTGATCTAAAAATCGTCATTGATATATGACAAGTGCACAAACGTTTCATAAAACTACCTATCACAATGTTATTTTGGCACGACGTGCTATAAAGTTTTTGGACTTAGATTTTCTCTATATCGCTAAAGCTCGGGACAAAATTAATCTAAAAAGGCTTGAACCTTTCGATAAAGAGACAATTTCTGTCCAAAAACTTTATAACACTGCGAACCAAAATAACAGTGATATATATAGTTATTACACTTTGCATTTTACTTTTCTATATGAAACTCTAAAGTTAATTTATGAAAGTACATTTATACCAGAATGCAATACGGAGATGTATATATACTGTAAATAACATTTTACAATTTCTTTTTATAGTTATGGTTATACTACATGATGGTCAATTTTTCCAGGACTCATCATTCAGGATAGAAACCGGATGTTTTAAAGGGACTATAAGCGTAATTTCAAGTGAGCCTCTATGCAAAGATGACAATGCTTGATTCACAAAGATATCCTCTTAAAAGCTTTGTCTGCACAATTGGATGAACTAGACATGCATGGGTTTGTTTATCTAAACTGTTTATTTTGATTTGTGGTTTCTCTGCAAAAGCGATTTGCGCATTTATTGGTTTTAAGAAACACGGAAGAAATTCACAGAAAAAATAAACAATCATTCAAGTCAGGAAAATGGTATTTTTGATCAGATTATGATCTTCCGTTGTAAATCGGGCATTGCTATCTTTGCTTAAGGGGTCTCTGAAATTAGGCTTTAATTAATTAATATAGTTTAACAGACTCTAAAAAGAAGTTAAGAATATTTTGATCATTTGTTTTTGCGTTAGATCAAAATTATTTCACTCGATTATGCCGAGAGCCATTTCTTTGACCTCAAACCATCTTTGACCATATCGTTGACCTCAAACCATATCTTCGACCTTGAACCGTATCTTCGACCTTGAACCGTATCTTTGACCTCGAACCATATTTTTGACCTCGAACGATTTGTTTGACTAAAAAACATATCTTTGACCTCGAACCATATTTTTGACCTCAAAACATCTCTGACCATATTTTTAACCTCGAACCGTATTTTTGACCTCGAACCGTATCTTTGACCTCGAACCATATCTTTGACCTCGAACCATATCTTTGACCTCGAACCATATCTTTGACCTCAAACCATATCTTTGACCTCAAACCATATCTTTGACCTCAAACCATCTTTGACCATATCTTTGACCTCAAACTATATCTTTGGCCTCGATCAATTTATTTTGCTTTAAACCATCACTCCTGTATGCCGGGTCCATTAGCGCCTGATCCAATCATGGTTAAGTCATGTGTTTATTGTCTATTCTAAACCAATAGAAATTGCATGGCGGTAACATCTATCTTTCTATCTATCTCATTATCCAATTAGAGATATGAATCCTTATTGCGGCGCTATACAATAAATGGAAATATTTTCTTCTACTGAAACCATAATGCCATATCTTAGCCTTAGACCTCTTGAACTATAACTCTAGACTAAAACAATTTGTTTCTTAAATTCTTTTTCTTGATAAACGCTGATAGAATTCTAAGGTTTACTAGGTTGAAGTAAGCCAAGATAACCCACACTTTAAGCAATTTCTCGAGAAAGTTTGATATCATTTCTTGGTTCTGTTTAGCTGTACTCCATATGCAGAAACTCATCTAAATTTTCTTAAACGTTCAGCATAAAATAAAATCAGTTTATTTAAAAATGTTACCTTAGAATTTTTCCAAAGTTTACCCTCCTTCCTTCTCTCTCCGCCCCGTAGTACATCTGATACACCCTGTTTATTGTAAAATAGATTCACTTCTGGGTCAAACTTGTTCAAAATTAGATGAACACTTCAAAACTTCCAAGCGTAATTATCAGAATTCAACAGATGTTCAAAAAACGACGTTATCTTCCACATTTTTGTTCAAATTAAGGTTTCAAGGGTATCGTTGTGAATCGGGCATTGCCATCTTTACATGGAGGGTCACTTAACATTATTCTCACGGTCCCTTTAAAGGACACCGTTGTGAATCGGGTGTACCCCTCGTTTGCAATATCAACAATGAGATTTAATTGGGCCGTATATTAGCTATTTTTTTAAACAAAAAGGTAACTATAGTCGTGACACGTGACTTGTGATTAGTAAAACCTTTTTTCTTTGCTATTGTACAATATAAAAATAAAAATAAATCTTTAATTAGTTTCTAGTTTCCAAGGGTGTAATCCTTCCTATCCTTCCTTGCAGGTACCAAGGGTGTAATGCAAGGAAAGTTAATTGCGGTCGTGTATACTCTGCTTACATATTGAAACCAGTTCTCTTTGGGTGGAATTTGTAAACAAGAATAGATGCATCAGTGTTCGTTTAGTATCCGAGGAGGTTAAAAGCATTAAATTTGATAATTTTGATAATTCAAATAATAGTTTCCTATGACCAGAATATTTCATTGTTTTTTTTTATGTGAAAGATGGATCCAATGTTAGGCTGTAACATCCGTCTTGTGTTTACATTACCGCCCAGAGACAGTACACTGCAGTACAAAAAATGCGTACACCTATGAAATAATTTTCCTTGCATTACATCCTTGCTAGTTTCTGTCCTTATATCATGTGTTTTTTAACACTCTGTACGAAAACTAAACATAAAAAGTTTACAGGTTGTCCATAAATCTGGTTTACAGGGCATTTATTTTCCTTATAAAGAGGAAAACAACATTAACACTTTCATCTAGAACATAAAGAAATAAAATCAGGAAGGATGGGAAAGGAAGCCTATATACCTACCTACATTGAGAACCAGAAAAATGTGAAACAGAAAGACGACAATCTTTAAGTGAATGAGAAAAACTAAAAAACTATACCAATAGCTTGCAAAGCTTGTATTGAGTAAAAGGGGTCTGTGAAAACTGCACCATTGCTGTGGCCTATTTCAAATCATAATTTTTAAGTCTAAAATCCGTCTTCCTAATTCATAGTTTTTTGGTCCTCACTGTATATACTTATATTTATCTTCTCATCTATATATTTGGGTTTGTTTGTTGTTGTTGTTGTTGTTGTTGTTGTTGTTGTTGTTGTTGTTGTTGTTGTTGTTGTTGTTGTTGTTGTTGTTGTTGTTGTTGTTGTTGTTGTTGTTGTTGTTGTTGTTGTTGTTGTTGTTGTTGTTGTTGTTGTTGTTGTTGTTGTTGTTGTTGTTGTTGTTGTTGTTGTTGTTGTTGTTGTTGTTGTTGTTGTTGTTGTTGTTGTTGTTGTTGTTGTTGTTGTTGTTGTTGTTGTTGTTGTTGTTGTTGTTGTTGTTGTTGTTGTTGTTGTTGTTGTTGTTGTTGTTGTTGTTGTTGTTGTTGTTGTTGTTGTTGTTGTTGTTGTTGTTGTTGTTGTTGTTGTTGTTGTTGTTGTTGTTGTTGTTGTTGTTGTTGTTGTTGTTGTTGTTGTTGTTGTTGTTGTTGTTGTTGTTGTTGTTGTTGTTGTTGTTGTTGTTGTTGTTGTTGTTGTTGTTGTTGTTGTTGTTGTTGTTGTTGTTGTTGTTGTTGTTGTTGTTGTTGTTGTTGTTGTTGTTGTTGTTGTTGTTGTTGTTGTTGTTGTTGTTGTTGTTGTTGTTGTTGTTGTTGTTGTTGTTGTTGTTGTTGTTGTTGTTGTTGTTGTTGTTGTTGTTGTTGTTGTTGTTGTTGTTGTTGTNAATCTGTTAAAGGAATGGTCAATGTTAAAGAAATTATCAACGTAATCATTTAATGGAATTCTTAACATAATTTGTTAAAGGAAATGTTGACGTAATCTGTAAAAAATATTTTTAAGTGCAATGCTTCAATGGAATTTAATTAAAATTGTGCTTCTATCAAGAATAGAAAAATATCAACAATTAGTAAATAATGGACGGATACTAGATATACAGATTTGAACCATGTTTGTTGTAATACGTCATTTGGTTTTTATCTAACAATATCTACATAATATATATATTCCAACAACCATCAAAGTTCTTGCCAAAAAACTAATACAATATATCACTCAAACGCAAGCTCTATAGACCATATCAATAATATCTTATTCAGTCCAATAACATTCATGAGGTAAACAGCTTGTTTATTTGATATAAATACCTCTCTGATATCAAGAAATATTTTTGGAAATTTGAGAAAATTAGGTTTCTGTAAATTTTCAATCTAGGTTTCTTTACGGAATTTACAATGATTAACCAGATATGATATTCATTGACAATGAATCATATCTTGTTAAGTACTACCTTTTACAATGAATATCAGATCAGGTAAAATCTAACCTTTTACAATGAATATCAGATCTGGTAAAACCTAACCTTTTACAATGAATATCAGATCTGGTAAAATCTAACCTTTTACAATGAATATCAGATCTGGTAAAATCTAACCTTTTACAATGAATATCAGATCTGGTAAAATCTGACCTTTTACAATGAATATCAGATCTGGTAAACTAACCTTTTACAATGAATATCAGATCTGGTAAACTAACCTTTTACAATGAATATCAGATCTGGTAAAGTCAAGACACTGTTTCCCAAACTGGGAAAAGAATGAGTCTTCTTCTTGTATATCTATTGGGAAACAGCGGAAACTATTCCTAAAAATATACAAACAGAGTATTTTAATAAAATAGAAATATAACAATTTTTATGACAAAGAAAAAGTTTCAAAAAATTAGATTTCATCTAGTGAAATTTCTTATCTGTAAATAAATATAGTTATTGTAAAATTTGAACTTTCTTTTTTTAATAAAATATGTCCCCCTCCCAACTATGAACTATTAAAGATTTTCTATCCCGGAAGTGTCTCTTATTGTGAAATGTATAAATTGTTCAGTATAAAATGTCTGTTTTTTAAAAGTCTCAACATCCAAATTATTTTAAAATCTAAATCGAAAAACATTATCACTTACATGTTGTTTTTCATATTCATATTTTTATTAAGCTACAGCTGGAGTCCCAAAGATTTTTAAAAATTCATTGACATGGAAAATACAAAAATTATCTTTCAAAATCTAATCAAATAATCTGTGACTAAACGTTAAATATTGTCTTTCAATTCCAGTGTTTATTTTGAATCTCGAGCTGTGCATTACATATATTAAGTTTGATTGAAATCAAACTTATTCTCTAATTACATGTATTATATATAGAATAACATTAAACTTTACTTTGTTTAATCTTAATATTGGCCCTTTAATTAACATTATTGAACCATCATCCATCATCAATTTACTAATACAATCGAATGTATGTCATTTCACTTAACTCGATATAATAGGAATACGACTGTTGGAATCAAGTTTTGATTTAAAATATTCCAATGAACATAAGACACAACAGTTCACTTGATAAGATGAGTTTAAAGCTACTGATAAACTATATTGTTTGAAAACAACATCAATGATATCAATACAACGTCGTCCTTTTATTCCACTGGTTGTATAGGACCCGCTGTAGGCTATAGATAAATATAAAATCCCGCTCTGCAAAGTTTTGGTATAAAATTTTCCTAATTTTCTTGAGAATTAGTCTAGTATTAAAACTTTTGAAAGTACAAAGATAAGGTTAGAATAAATGGATAGGACCAGGGTTTCCAGCGAACAAAAACTTTCACTAAAAAATACGAAAAAATTTGTCTTTGTATTTCACAAACATTTTCGCGAAATTTCGCATTTTTTCGCAAAAATGAATGATGCTAAAAAATGCGAAATATCGTGTAAATGTTCAAAAAAATTCACGAAAAAAGCTTAAGTTTTCAAATTTTTTAAGCAAGCAATTGAAAAGTAAAAAATTGTGAAATTTTTGGCGAACATTTTTTCGCAAGAAACCCTAGATAGGACCAAACAAACTAACACAGACTACTCATTTGCTAGATGGAACCCGCTGTGGTGATATTTTCCACCACAGCAGGTTCCATTGTGTTCGACTGGAGTACATGATCAATCAACAGACATCTGTATTCAGGGATATTTAAGGATGATTTCGATACGAAATACAAATCTTCAAAATCACACTAAATTCATAAATTTTATGTTTCATGTTAAAAATTAGAGTATTTCTTTAAAGGTTGTAAAACTTAATTATTGCAACAATTGGGCTTTAGATGGCAGTCAAGAACCCCTCTGGAAAAGCAGCATGACGTACCAGGACAACAATAATTCTGCTAGGCAATCCCGTGAGAGCGTATGAGCAGTCTGCGTTCGTCTGTGGTTGACCACCATACACTATGCAGTATATCGTGTTCTGTATGTAAATGTATACCCTGAACCAAGGTTGTAATGCAAGGAAAGTTAATTGTAGTTGCGTATACTCTGCGAACAAATTGAAACCAGTTCTCTGTGGGCGGAATTTGTAAACAAGAATAGATGCATCAGTGTTCATTTAGTAACCGAGGAGGTTAAAAGCATTAAATATTTATAATTTTGATAATTTACATAATAGATTCCTGTGACCAGAATATTTCATTGATTTTTTATTTAATTATGGATCCCATGTCATGTCCTGTCAGACATCCGTCTTGTGTTTACATTACTGCCCAGAATTAAACAGTACACTGCAGCCAGCCAAAAAAATGCGTACACCTCTAAAATAACTTTCCTTGCATTACAACCTTGCCCTGAACTTTCTTATCGTGAAATAAACTAGAAATAAACTGCCTTTTAAATTAGAGATACTAAAAAGAAGTCCGGTTTAGACGGTAGGAAAGTGAGGTTTCATGCCGAAACTAATTATTCATTATAAGGTCACATTTACATCTATCTTTGAAGCCTGATTTCAAACTATAAATTAGGTTAGATGAAAAACTCTAAACCACCAGATTGAAAGGAAAGATATGCGGAAATCTGAGTTCATGGCAACGTCTTATGCTTTTCAGTTAATGTATGTATTATGTTAATTCTAATCTACGTTTTTCTCATTTTTTGAAAAGTGAAAAATAAAATCAATGGTCCTACTTTATTTTATGATTACAGCAGTCGAAAGCTTCTCTTGCCGTTGACATCATATCGTGGCCAATAAATTGTCCCCATTGCATAACCATGTGGCTTAATTTCCTGTAAAATTATTTTTAGTCAAGATACGTTTAAAGGAGTGTGCGTTAAAAGTAATAAAGGGTATACAAAACAAATTCGTAAAGAACGTTCACAAAACATTTGATAAGTCGTTTAAGCTCTAAGGAATTGAATCTTTGCCACGAACTCAAATTTTGTAATCCCTTATCCACCTCATGATTAAACCTTTGATATTTCAAACTTTTGATCCAAAATAATTCATAGTTTGAAATATGGTATATGACATTGGATTGCGTAGATATAGGGATTAGAAAATCAGAGTTGGGGACTATTTGCAACCAGTCGATATTTCATAATTTTACATATATAAAAACTAGTTAGGGTCTGCAGTTACATCATGTTGAAATATGTTTTAGAACATTAGAGATTGAAACGAGTAATCAGATCTTATGGTTTAAATTCATACCCCTTTTCATTTGTGACCAATGCTCCGTGAAAAGCCATGCAAAATAGTAAAAATATGTATAAAGTGTAAATAGTGTATATATTTATTTCTTGTCTTTACAAACATCGCCAATAAATTATATTTTTACATCTAGAAGATGTAAATGGAAAATATAATATTCATAGAACATTTCCCAAACATATTTTGTTTTGTCAGTAAATAAAAAGAGACCATTATTCCATTTCTTACTTGCAGAAAATAAAATATTTATTTTTCAACATTTCGCATTTTTAGTAAATGTAACAACGTATGCTGTGCAACATGTTTCAGTCCTATATGTATCTAAAATCAGTCCTATATGTATCTAAAATCAGTCCTATATGTATCTAAAATCAGTCCTATATGTATCTAAAATCAGTCCTTTATGTATCTAAAATCAGTCCTATATGTATCTAAAATCAGTCCTATATG